TAACACATAATCAGTAAATATATGACATTTATTAGCTGTTTGCTAAATGTGAAGCTATACTCAGGAAACAGCTAGGTTAGTTTAGCATAAAGACTGGAAACTGTGGGGGAGCTAGCTCTGTTCAAGAGTTAAAACATACATAAACACCTCTAAAGCAAAGTAATGAACACCTTGTTTGTTTGACCTGTTCAAAAACCATAAAAACGAGAGGGCTCAGTAAGTTCTTTAAAGTTTCAGCTGGCGACGTTCAACCACATAACCCTCGCACTTGGGCTTAGGAGCGGCTGTTGGTAAGGGGTGTTAGCTTCAGACAGTCTGGCTAGCTGTCTCCTCCTGTTACCTAGTTTATGCTAGGCTAAGCTAACCTGCTGCTGGCTATTAGTCTAATAAATCTTTTCATCCAACCCAACTAAATGTGAGATTTTGCAGCTTTTTTTCTTTTCTGTGAAATTATGACAGCATTGTTCACTGTTTTGTGACATAATGTAGACCAAACAACTAACAACTGATTAATAATTTAAAAAACTTGACAAATACTTTGATAATGACCAAAAGTGAGTTAAAGTCACAACTGTAATAAGAATAGCTTGTTTTACTTAAAACATGTAATATAATGTCTAGTGAAAAAAAAAAACAATTAAACCTAACTACAAAATAACGTGCAGATATAGTAGCATTTATGAGACTGGGCTTCTAAATGTGTTTGACCAGCAGATTAACTGCACTCTAGATTTTCCTCAGGTGTATGCAGATGGCTGCTCATTTGTTTCCCAGCCTGCCAGAGGGAATTTGAACAAGAGCACAAAGGTCGTTCTGACAGACCTCATCCTTTTCCAAGCTGTTTGTTTTCCGTGTTCTGTCTCAGCCGCCACACAATTCATTCCTTAACGTCTGGGTGGAGACTGCAGAGCTATGGTCAAAATATTATTCAGTGAACAGCACACAAGCATACATTTAAACACAGCGTTTGTTCTAAATTAAGTTAATTAAGCATTTATCAGATCTAAGACTATATTTAAAGGATTATAGTGATTTTTATTAAGATGATTTTTATTAAGATTTTTATTATAGCGATTTTTATTTGACAAAAAGATTGAACCTGGCACTCAAAGAGGTGGTATTGTGCTTTTTGGCTTTTCCCCTATCCTTTATTGGGTTCTATCTCTTTTTTGTGAATCTAATAGGTTTGCAAAGTGAAAAAGCCCAAAGTCCAGCCCAAAGGGAGTTCCTATCTCCCACAGAAAGCTCTGCTCTGAACTGATTGAAAACAGCTCATTTGTAGTCCAGCCTTTCACTTCCTTTACTTGTGACATCACAATGAAAACGCGTCATAAAGCTTGCCAAGCGGCTAGCGGGGTCAGGCACGCCCTCAAACTAAGCTAGTCTGAGCTGAGGCCCTTTGATTTTAGTTAAGCCCCTTTTCCACTGCACAGTACCAGCTCGACTTGGCTCGACTCGCCTTTGTTTGGTTTTCCATTGTAGAAATGTTGTACCTTTGTATCACCTCACCTCTGTCGAGGTTCCAAGCGAGCTGAGGGAAACTAAAATGTAATGTGAAAACAGACCGACTGCTGATTGGTCAGAGAGAATATTCACTATTCACTGCATCATCATTGCATTCCCCAGACAGAGGCCGAGAGGGGCTGTGGCCAGCAACATAAAGTTTTATATTTTACAGTTTTCGTATGTAATTTCATCACAAAATCCACTTATGAGAAGTTTTGAGGTGAGAAATCAACTGTGTAGATTTCGAATATTGACAGTTTTACGAGAAGTGATGGCAGAACAAAAATGTGCTTGAATATTTTCGGAGTTGAGGAGCTCCGCAAGTGGCTGCGGCAGAAGCCTGTGCCAACCCGCGGGAGGAGCGTGTGAGGCCGGCCAGCCGCCCGCTCACAGAGCCCTCTGCTCCCGCCGTCACACAGACCGCTGCAGCAACAACGGCAGAGCAAAACACAGCTGGAAGATTTTCATACCGCTTATCTGTCTTTACATTCTGAGTAATGTTGAATCGTTTTAACTTAAAAAAGAGAAAGCTGTGTGGATCGCTGGTGTGTGTGTCACATTGAACATTACGTCGCGGCAGTTGTGTGTGGCGTCGCTATGACGACAAGCTACGTACTATCTCTTGGTACTAGTAGTTCAACGTTTAGTCCTAAAAGACGATGCAACTCCGACTCTGTTTGGGCCTGGAAATTGACAATCATAACCTGTAAGTATGCTTTATTGGTTGTGAATTATATTTAAAATAAACACGGCAATGTAACCTCACAGACTGTTCAAGTGCGGAGTTGTTGTAAACGGTGGCTAACACAGCTAAAGTTATAGCTATAATGCTAATGTTACACCTGATGTGAAAGCGACCGTTCAAATTGTTTGGCCAATTTTTATGTAAAATTGAGTTGAAATCTGGTGATTTTTGTAGTGGTTTATTGTAAGATGTGGAACAATGATGTTGTGGACTTGTGAGTAACTTATACCATCTGCTAGGTTACAGTCGCAGTCTGAAGCGGCTTTGATTTGGATCACACTACCTTATTTCTTACGACCCGCCCTTCTCTGCTTCTGATTGGCTAGTAGTCCTTACCTAGGATCTGCGAATGTGTAACTCCCAACAAAGATTTTGTACAAGTAAGATGCATCACTCTGTAGCTCAAGAGCGGAGCGTACAACACAGCAATGTGCAGTATGCGGAAAAATATGGAGTTTTTTGAAAATTAAACCATGTAAACATGTTCTGTTACAACCCCTAATTAAGATTTTGAACCTGAAAATGAGCACAATACCACCTCTTTAAACTACTGGGCTGCTGCATGTATGTCCCAGAAGAAAAAAAAAAAAAAAACCCTGACCTGAATAAGCTGCTTTTATCTCCACACTATCTTCCCCACTCTGCCCAACACTTACACCCTGTGTCCAGCACATGAACTACACATTGTTCCTCACAATTCCTCTGAATAGGATCAGACAGGTCCGAGACAAAACCACAGGAAAAATAAAACCTCTTTTGATTTTTTTATTATATCAAAATACAAAAATTTGAGAGGAAAATTTCGTATGGGACTAAGCATTTGAAATGATATGGTGACATGAATACAACACTGCTTTCATATTCTCACAGACATGCCATAGATAGAGCATAGATCATGTGCTAGGCCCATGTCTACGTCATGATGAGCCACCAATGAGCCTGTGCATTTTCCCTATAAAGGCTTTTGATGGCGACTGTCACTATATATCCAGGCCAGTTGGTAACAGGCCAACAGAGTGTTTTTTTTACACCATAGTTCGCTTAGGTTTCTGTTTACTCAATAAAGAAACGAGATCCATGGCAGTTGAACATGAAGAGTGAGTAAGACATGATCTTAGACGATACAGAAATCACTGGACAGCAGTGGCAAACGAGAGAAAAGTAATACAAATATTATACATAAGGCTTTGGTACAGCACCATACAATATGAGTTAATTGCTCACAAAAAGTTAAGTGAAGCATAATACCTGATGTAGTGACAGAACAGAATGACAAGTCTAAAAACTGACCCCCAAAAAAAGAGAGAGAAAACATCAGGTTATCATTTTAAACAGACAGAAAAGTAAAAAATGTTTTTGCTTTTTGAAATATTTACATATGAACATTGTTGAATTAAAGAACATTTATGGAGACAAATTATGTACAAAAAAAACAATACAGAATAAACAACATATAATACACAATGTAAACATGTGATGTACAGCACAGAGTTCAGTGGATGAAAATGAAATGAAATGTAAATTTTCTTCCTTTTGAAGCACTACTTGGTTTGCTTGAGTATGAGCATAAGCTAAAACAGTCAACGATGTAGTGCTTATTGTAGCCTACGATAATAATACATTCTAGTTTCTCAGTGCTGGTACACATGAAAAAACAGAGAATATAGAAAATACTACATATTTCTATTTTCCGTCCAATAACAACCAGCTCGGATGTCCATGAATGATTGCTAAATAGGCGTTGTTTTTTTTTTGTATTGTCTCTACATGCAAGATTAATACAATAAAAATCAAATCGGTTTCTAAGTATCATTCTACCAGCACCGAGTGATGCACTAAAAGCTGTAAGCAGAAAAATTGGAGGAAAAAAAACAACATAAGATTGAGCTAACAGTACGTCCAAAGCAGCCCTCTTAAACACTGTACATGTTTCATTTGAATATGCAAAAAAGAGCCCGGAAGACGACATCCATTCGTAAAACCCATGGAGAGGATGTATGAGCTTCCCAATACCTTTCTACCATTAGATTTAGCAGTAAATACAAATGAGGTCTGATGACTACTCATGGCTATCCTGTACAGTACTAGTAGGAATTCTACCGTCAGAACGGTGGTGAGATGATGTGAGACGCTTACGCCCCTTGCAGTAGTGTGCTTGAAAAACAGTGCTGTTAACCAAAGATGGTAGACCTAAAGGAAGTGTGTAGAAAAGATCCTCTCATGACCTGACGATGCTCTCAGATTCCCTCCCATGTGTCCTGTGGCGTGTACTAATCTAAATCAGGTTATGTTTTGTTTTTTTAGGCTGGGTTAATATTTTCAATATCATCACAAATATACTTTAGAGAGGGTACCTTGGAAGCACAGACAAACATTGCAAACACACTATAGAAAACAGGTCATCTTGAGTTCATCTGAATGTCACGTCTATTATTTGAGGTTATACTTCTATTTTCCATTGTCTATCACTGTCATCACACCATGATACTGTTATGATAAGGATCTATAGTGTCTACCGGAACAAGTTTAGTTGCTCAAACACACAGGGCCGAAAGTGTTGCTTGTGGAAACAGAAAACGGAAAAATCTTTAGACCTCTATTCTACAGCACCACAAAGTTAAACATAGCACCAAGTCGTAATGTTCAAAGCAACTATGCCCTAACACACTTTTCTTTATCAAACTAATGTAAACACAATTTCCTCCACAGCACGTATTGTACATGACTACAGCATGTCTGTGACTCTTAGAAAAAATGTTTCCTTCAGTTTATTTGCTTTGGACACCTGAAGGCGAAAGATCTGGAGTGAATCTACATGTGTGCTCATGAATGGGCAAAATACAGTATTACTTTGTTCCAGGAATATTAAAGAGGGCAACACACTTCTGCTTCTAAAGCTTTTTCCAGTGGGCATTCATGTACTATACATCAGAGAAAATACTACTTAACTTGTGCAGCCAGCGGGCTATGGCAATAATACATTGTACGGTACTAACATTAAGGTTTCTTTTCTTCTCAGATAAAATAACGTCTGCTAAAGTATGACAAATGAGGCACCTTAAAATGTTTTAAAAACATTTTCCACTTAAAGCCGTAATGTAAGCAAATATTTTTATATATAATCTAATTTCTTTTTCCTTGGGATCCTCCTGTCTTTTCATACATCCTCACAAAAGAACGTCTTCCTGTAAAACATGGTTTGATTTATCTTTACAAATACAATACATACCATGTACAGTACATAACAAATATAGAATTTTTTTTCCTCGTATCTTACATGAAACCAATTTGTTAAAGTAGAATATGCACTTTGACGCTCACTTCCAGGCAATCATCACTTTCTCACTTGTCAAAACGTGTTTGAGATTTCAGTAAGCAGCCATTGAGTTGATTCATTCATGTGGATATATGACGGAAAACCTCTCATTTGTTTGTAGCAGATGGCAATATATCTGATGTGTATTTGAGTGATTGAACTAGCATTAGCAATAAAAGGAAACCATTTGTCAGAGCAAAGGGAGCTTGGCTCAGAACCTGTGCGGGGCCCATTAGTTATTACCGCATACAGGAATAACACAGAGAAGTAAAACAATTTGGACTTAATGTGTCAACTGCTCATCTCACCAATTGCAGCCGCACTAGTAACAATGTAACGGGTCACTGTGACATTCATTTCCTGTACAGCAAAACATACATTCATTATCGGTTAGTGTCGAAAAATTAACAAACATACAGAGAAGTAGCTAGCAAGTAATATACAGTTAAAAGATAAACAGTCAGGGTGGCCATTGTTTGAATATTTCCCATTACTTATTGGCAGCTTTACGAAGCAATCATTCTCCTTTAACAGCTGCTGTTAAACATTAACATCCTTACTCTACTGGTTTGTTCTCTCTGCATGAAAATTCATGTACAGTGCTTCTGAACTTTTCCACCGTAGTTATATTTATTGATTTATATGCCGTTTTTATTTCTCTAATCTAAACGTGTTTTTTTCTTTTTGTATGGGTGTTCTGGTTCTGTCCTATTACTTGGATATACACAGTTGAAGCAGGTACCCATTTAAAATATAAATGTGAACAAAAACAACAAACAAAAAAGAAGAGTTATGCATACTCTGTAGCATTTTCTTTCATGTGTCCTTGGCAGAGAAAGTAAAAACACACATAGTATTGGAGTCCCTCACTCACCCGAAGAGACAAATATGAGAAGGCGAAGGAAAAAGGCAGTTTATGTTCGAAAAAAATGAGAAAAGGCAAAAAAAGGCACCTTGACACGTGCCACGTTTCCCAAATTATTCCTTAATAATGAAATACATACTACAGTACACTTCACAATTCATCACCCTGTTCTTCTAAACCCTAGAAGTCCAACCTTGGTTGAGCGTGTAAGTCCCAAATTATTTTCTCATGAAGGCTATGATCTTCATCTTAATACGGTGTAAATACACTGAGCCGCCAAGCACTAAAGTTAAGACAGTCTTCTAATGGTTGGCATTGGATCATAAATCAAAATGAACACAATATGCCAGCTGATAATAACAAGCTTTTAAATCAGATAACGTTAGGCCATATTATCCATTTCAATGAGTGTGGTGTGTGTGATATAAACCTTTTTATCCATACATTTCATATGTAAAAAGGTCAAGTACGTACAGTATACCACAAGAATTACAGCAACTCTGCGTTTACTCTGAGGTATATTTTGTGGTAAGAACCCTGTGTTTGAATACTGACACTATTTGTATTGTAGGAAAGGTAGACTCATGCCCCATGTCCGAGGACGCACCAGGCTTCACAGTACACTGTATCACTGAAAAACCTAAAGATATGGACCCCTCAATGATCAGTGAGTGAAAAATCTTTAACGTGTTGTTACATACTCAACCAACACATTTTTATTACTGTAGGAGGAAGCTTAATTCCCTTGTTTTACTATTTATATACATTATATATTTTCAGAGCATTTTCAAGTGAAATTCCTCAGAGACAAGTAGTGGTGACAACTCAGAAAAGCCATTGTTCTTGTCTTCAAATAAGATTTCCAACCCCGGAGTATTCAGCTGGATGTTTCCCCACTCTGCAAACACCGACAACTTTTAAAGATTATGAGAAATGTATTAGCTTGATACAGGAACCAGCGTGGAGCGGGGAGGGCTGAGGTGGGTTTTATCTTCAGGGGAGGTCATTTTAGTCCAATGGCTTGGTGGGCACACGGGTCAGTGTAGAGTCCCATAATTTGGGCCCTCTGAGTCTGCACTGGCCAGAATGCCTGTCTGGTCCTCCTCAGACTGCCTGCGATGCAGGAAGGAGGTCAAATAGAGATATGGGTTCTTCTTGTTCTGCCTTTTCCTCTTTCTGTGGAAGTTGAGATCCTCTTCCTCTTGGAGTGTCTGAGATTTCTGCTGGGTCTGAGAGGGACACACACCTGAAAGGGAGGCGAGAGAGAAAGCACAGTGGTAACACACCACCCACATATTTTAACATCAATCTTCTGTCTCTTCTGTAATCGTCGGACGAACCTGTTCTCCTTCCGGAGGTTGTGTTGTTATTGTTGTTGGCAGCCACTCCCTTGGCTTTAGTAATACAGTGGTGTAGCAGTGCAGGTAAGCTCTCAGACCCGGCAGGATCACTAGACGCACCTAGAGGTTCCCTGAGAAGAGGAGAGACACCACAGCATACGTTGTTCTGCATTAATCAAACAGTTGTGTTCGGTCCAGTCTTAGATGTGAAAAGACAGAATGACACTTTGCATTGCTATTTCCAGTAGGTGCTATCATATGGTTTGATGAGCTCTTGTGCTTCTACTGAGAGCCCTTTCGCTAAGATGATGAATTTCCACTTTCTATCTGCAATGATGGATGATAAAAGTTAGACACAAAGGAAGAAAGAGATAATGAAAGAAAGAAAATGAAAGAAAAAAGAAAGAATGAATAGTTGACATAAGGTGCCAGTTGATTTGGTGAATTTATTGGCTATTAAATTTCTTCTCAAACAATCATTACATTAAAGACCCATTTCAGGATTTATAATACAGACTAGATGTTTAGTCTTAGGGGTAAAGTTCTCTAATTACAAGTCCCATTAGTGTAATTTAAAATCAGAGACATTTTGTGGTCTTTGCAACAGTGCTAAAAATAAATGGAAACAAACACATTGTAGGATTACACAATAATTGCAAATGACTGTGCTCACTAAGGTTTGGGTCTTTAAACAGTGACTGCTTCAGAAATGCGGGCAATAACGGTCTCTTTGCTGTATAAAACTCATAAAATGAAAATAATTTCTGGAACTGTAAAATTACTGTTCCTGAAACAATGAAGTCTATATTATTCCAATACCACTAGTTTCAGTATACAGCAGATGCATGAGCATTTCCCTGAGAGACTGCTAAGTGTGCTAACGTGAAAGTAAAGTATGTGTGCATGTGTCTTTTAAAAACAGAAAATAGACACCTCTTTTTGAACCCTGAATAACTATTTTCATTTCATGAGTGATACATGCTACGTTTAATGAAAGATAATTAATGTTCAATCAGTGAAAAAAACAATCACATCAAGTTAAAGTATCTTCTCCGTCATAGTATGCAGTTTTACCTCATACCGAATACTCTGGTTTTGTTGTCCATCTCTCATAGAAAGATGCAATAAAATTAAATTCAAGTCCAAATAATCACAAAATCCTAAGATTTAAGTTCAGGTTCATGAGGCTCAATGGCTTTGCCTTTCAATGAACTGAATACAAACAGCTTCAAAACCTGACTTAATGTTTCATTAAGTCAAGTTGTTGTGCCAAACATGTATTGTTTCAAAAGGCATAGGAACACAAAGCTTTAGAGATGCTGTCCATCACTTGTCACTGTGGAGAGAGAGATTGAGAGCCATTAGCAGAGAGGGGGCGACAAATCTGAGAATTGCAACAGTCCTGGACAGATAGAGAACATTTCCATTATCACATAAACTGTGTGCAGAGGCCACAGTGTGTTAAACATAGTACATTTCCATAGACATGAACACTGTACAGCACACTTTCATAAACATGAACACTGCGTACAGAGGCTTCACCATGCTGACGGGAGGAGATGGCAGGAAGAGGAAATGGCCGTTAAAGAACAAGTCACATGACAGGAAGAGGAAATGGCCATTAAAAACAGTCACATGACAGAAAAACGAAAGCACTTAGGACAACAAATGTGACAAAGAATTTAGTTTGAGAATTGTTGTTATTTGTTTGGTCGTAGAGAGAAGTTTAGAGAATGCATGCATGGCATTTTGCACATGGAACAAAACTTTAAAGGGGAATACTCCAGTCTATCATTCATGTGCGTCCTCTATTGATTCAAGGCTTTTTTTGGTGCAGGGAAACATGTCTGTATTCAAACAATCAAAAGACAAAAATGCTTCTCCACAGTCCAAAACCGGTCCTCCTGCTTGCTCACAAGCCTAATTACTGCAGCCTACGCCACAGCAGGCTTACTGTGCCATGGAAGTGTATTGACAAATGTGTCCTGCAGTCATTATTACCATTAGTTGTACTTCACTTGAATCCAGCACAGAGACACAACCCAAAGCGATTCCCCTTTAAAGGAGAGAGTGATTAGAGCCCTCCCCCTGCTGACCCCTCCCTCTCAGACATGGGTCCGACCCTTACCTATTGCGGCGTAGGGGACCGGGTCACAACGCTGCCCAGATAGCTGAGATCAATCAAAAACAAATCACGTAAGACCCTTACCCTCTATAAAGCAGCAGCCCTATAAGCTACCTTTCCTTAAAGGCCAGTGATAGTGCAGGAACGAGTCTCTGCTTCGTGCCTGTAGCTACTGTATGATTGTAGCTTCTAGGGTTGTGAGGTGGGTGTAAGGGGGTGCAGGAATGTGTACAAATACTATGGGACATAAAAGTATATGGGTCGCTGCTTTGTTTTTATGTAGGTGTAAAAGCATACAACGTCCTGTGATATGTCTGACAATCTGTATACAGGGGCAATAATCTATCAGTGTTGGGTGTCATGGGAAACCCCTTCTAGTGAGATTTGATTGTAATATTCCTTCATGCTTTATGCTGAGTTTTTATCCTTACATAGTAGATACCAATTTCTAATAATACAGCTTTTACAAACGGCTTTATTAATGATTAATAAATGACTTACTAATGCTGTATAACATTGTTATAATAACTACTTGTGGCTTTTAGCCTCCTCAAGCAGGATACTTGATTTGTCTTTTTAGCTCTTGAATTCATCAGACAGTTTGACCTCTGATCTTCTGTAAAAGGGCTACGGACATTTGGACCCAAATTGATTTTCATTAACAATTTACCAAATGTTTTTACAACTACAGATTCAAATAATTGTCAGAACTCCCTATTAATTACTTATTAATGTTTATAAATATTGTACAGATGACATACTAACTTTTCCTGTTGGTTTATTAGAAAGTGAGTTAACTTCATTAACTTTATTAATTAATTTATTCATGACTTAACAACTAGATTTTCACAACCTGGCAACCCAATAGTTGTTCTTATTAGTGGGTTAATAAAGAATAAATAATAAAGAATTAGTAAATATTTCATTAACTGTTAATAAAGCCATTAGTTACAGCTTTTAAATTCTTTAAAATTAATGATCAGAAAGTGGTACCTTTTTCTTTGTATGTAATATAGTGTAATAAAAAGTATGTGCTCATTAAATATACAGTTAATTGTTAAAGGTTTTCACATTCATACCTTTAAATAGGTATTTATAGGCATTACTTTCAATAATTGAACTGATCAAATATAATTTTATCCAACTATAATAAATGCTTCAGTTCAAAGTTTCAATGTTCAAAGTGAGGGACAGAAAAAATGGCAGTTTATAAAAAATTGTAAACTTGAGGGTTTCTGTATCTTATAGCTTAAGTGTTTCAACTTAATGTTCCTATAGGCATTGTTTTTTGAAAATTAAAGTTGACTTCAATTTGCAGTATGCTCAATCAAATTTGATTAGATTAAATATGTGCTATCAAAGGATAAAGACAATAATACTTTACTTTATCTTAAAATCAAATTGAGCTTTCACATGCCATCTACTTTTTGCCATAATTTTTATGAACTAATACAATGTGTGCTAAATGCAATTACATGCCTTCTGCATATTAATGTACAATATGCATCTTAATTATGCCTAAATGGAGACATCAAAGTAAAACTGTGGATATATTCTGAGGAAATTTGGAATAGAGTGCAGACGAGGAGACAAGTCTCCCCTTTAAATATATATGTGACTATTCTCTACTGGAATGGATCACCTACCCTGAGGCTGATATCTGGAGCTGAGAGGGCTCTGAGGGTAGCATCTCCTCCTCTGTCCTTCTCTGGGATGGCCTCTGCCCGAAAACATCCCTGCCCTCCAGAGGGGGAGAGGGGGACTGGGAGGGGTAACTGGCTGCAGTGGAGGCATAGGACATGTGGGCGTGGTAACTGGGACTGTGTTGCTTGCCGCCCTGGCTCTGCGTGGGAGAGGCGGACAGGGAGGACCTCCGGGAGAAACTGACCGAGGGTTGCAGGGTGAGCTCAGGCATCTCCAGAGACCGAGAGGTACGGAGGATGCTGGGGCGCGGAGGGGGCCGCACTAGAATATCTGGGGAACCCGGCTGGGTGCTAAGAGGACTTTGGGAGAGTGGAGAGAGGCGGGAGGGCTGGAGTACTAGCGGGGGTAGGCTGGGGTCTGCCCGGCGCCCTGCCCTCGGGCTGAGCCAGGACTGAGGGCTACTACTGGGGGCTGTGCTTGGGCTCCCTGCACGGGCTGCCGGGTCAGGGTAAGGCAACACTGGTACACCCACACCGTGGGCCGTGTGTCTGAGCTGGCCTAGACTCTGGGCCTGTTGCATAGCTAAACGCCTAACCGGAGGCCTGTCTCTGCCTGGGGGAGCCACAGGGACCTCCAGCTGCAGGAGTCCAGGGCTTGTTGGATCCTTAAGGTGAGGGAAGTGCAGGCGACTAGGGGGTAGAGAGTGAGGAGGGTATGGGGGTGGGTCAGGGAGGTCCTGGGGATGATGTAAGGGATGGTGTGGTGGGTAAATGAACCGTGGACCCTCTAGACCCAGGAAGGGTAACTCATGTGGCTGCCAGCTTTCAGGTGAGCGAGGAGGAGGGCTGTGTGTGTGAGACAGAGAATGGCCAGAGGCAGTGTACTGATGGTGTTCCATCTCGCCACTCTCCTCGGGGATGGAGGGGTAACCAAAGGGCCCCTCTGCGGTGCCTGGGGGGGAGGATAGAGCGGAGCTACGCGGGCTGATGTCAGGCATGTAGAATGGTGGTGGAATCCCTGATTCAGTGCGGCTGCCTAGATACCCATAGAATGGGCCCTGGGGAAAGCCCCTGTAGCGGGAGGCCGGGGCCTGCCCTGAGGCGTGAAGTGCACTGCCCTCTGCAAAGCTCATACCTTCCATGGGCCTGTGTAGGCGGGGGCTGTAGGTGGGGGGCTGCGTTGACTCCAGGCTGGAGGACGTTGGTGAGAGCTGGGGCCGCAGCGTGGGCATGATGGGCGGCAGAGGCCCAGGGTCAAAATCATTCTCCTCATCAGACTGCCGGAACTCAGGGTACATGTCAGACTCCTCTGCGAAGGGGAAGCCCTGGATGCGGCGGGGCGGTGGGCTCTCCATGACGAAGCGGCCATCAGGGCCGCGGCTTATCAGCTCAATAGGCGTGGTGACCTCTGCCTCGTACTTGGACACACTGTATTTCTTACTGGCTATGGCACGCTTGGTTTTCTTGTAGAAGGAGAGCTCTTTGTCTCTTTCTCTCTGAGGGCTGGGCAGCTTCCTGACATACAGGCCTGGACCATGGGAACCTTCTGAAGAAAGAGAACGAGGTCGAGATGGAGGGGAGCTCTCTGGACTTATCTTTCCCGACGATAACCTGATTAAAAAAATGCAGACACAAGGCACTGGCTTAATTTAACATATACCAGAAGAAACTCAAAGGGAAAGTGCGTACTTAAAAAATAAGTAAATTAAAATGCATGAATGCAGTTTCATTCTTGAACTAAACAGATGAAACACCACAAAGCACTATCAAGGCAGCCATAATGAACTACATTATGAAAATGACCAGTTTATGGCGGCGGCAGCATCCTGATAGGACAGCAGCTAATGAACGGAATGAGAGGAGAACCAACGACGCAACCATGACAACCGTATCACAGATCTATTGAATCTACATCTTCTTGAGCAGACGAGAGACCAATTTCCGTGTGCTGCACCAAATGGTGATGTGAGGAAAGCAGATGACATCTAACCAGGCCTTATTTGCCCACACCAGGAGCAGCAGAGTCGACACTTACGCGGTCAATGAATGCATCAGGTAGACATACATTATAAAGAGTGCATATACACAGTACTGAACTGTTCATGCAGCTGATCTAATGCAGTTTAATCCCTGTGTGGTGCGTGAAAGTCTGTGCATGCAGGTAGGCTTCACTACAACAAAAACTCATTGTCAGTTGATCACTTCTATGCAATGCATTAACCATGCAGCCAAGCCAGTGCAGTGCAGCACACTCTGTATTTTGGTGCAGGCAGGCACTCACAGGGGGCTGGCGGGCGGGGGCAAGAAACTGCTCCTGGCAGGCTCGTCCCAGCAGGGCTCTACCCCTGGCAAGGGGGTGAGAGGAGGCCTGCGATGGGAGACAAACGACATGGGCCTGGTTCATCTTTGACTATGCCACTTGCAGGAAGGACTAAGTGTGAACTCCCTGATCTGCCTGGACCATTTCTTAAAAAATAAACAAAGGTATCTGATACTGACGATTTACCTAAAGTCTCAGGCAAATAAACATTTATTCTGGAATCGGATTTACACAGATTAGTGTCACAAATGAGCTTCTTTTGAGATTGAAATGCAGTCATACATGTACACAAGATTTACAGACAGACAGACAAATACACACATGTAGCGGATACTGTACATTAAATGTGCAGCTAAACAAAAAAAAATAGCATTATTTAACATTTAGAATCATGCAGAAAGCAGACAGCGTTTGAGGTTAAAGAATACAAATGGATCAGAAATCAATACACATACTGCAGCTTGGGCACTCTGGGTAATGTGCTTAAAATGCTGGCTTGGCTGCTTTGAACTTTCCTTAATCTGCCCATGATCCACTAGAGGCTGCTACGGTACATGTTCTTCCACACCCTTCAAGTAGCCCAAACTTATAATTAGAGTTTTTTTTAATCATCCACCTGAGCTTCTTCTTCTGTACGTTTTAACAAATATACCATCTCTTGTCCAAATGCTCAGGGGATAGCATGCTGTGTGTAATAATCAGTTCCACTAGGGTTTACTGTTATTTATTGTTAAAATGTATGCCTCGTCTCAGCATGCATGGGGAGAGAAACTGTGTAACAGGTGCATTATTAGAAGGTGCACCGTAGTAGCCACCTCTGGCAGAGAGCAGGAGCTCTGGTGTTGACTTTACTTACGGTGACTCAATGCTTTTCCTGAAGTGTGTCACAGACAAGGGAGGATCTGAGAGGACAAAAACATTTAAATTTAGAATTTCCTCTGTTGAACAACACGAGTAGAAGAAGTCAAACACATGGATAGACTATGAGACAACAGGGCCCTGGGACATGTAAAAGCCCCCCCCCCACCCATCCTACATGGGAGCAAGACAAGATTGAAATGACAACTATAGAGGGGCTTTTCCAAATCTGTGTTTGTAATAATTTCTTCTCTTTGTGGTGGTTTTCTGTTTCTTTGTAGTGGTTTTATATCCATTTGTGGTGGTTTTGAGTGGAGCGGAACAATTATTCGAAATATTATTGAAATTGCAATATGGCCAAGTGCAATATCCGAGATATATATATATAAATAAATAAATAAATAAATAAATGGTAAAATGTGTCACAGCATACGATTATAAATGAAGCATGTGGTGCTAAAGAGATGTCCCAACCTACAAATCATGTTCTATACACATAAGGGAACATGCTTGTTTGGCACAGACTGCATAAAAAATGACATGAAATCACATAATTTTAATATTTTTTTCATTGAAAATGAAAAGCAAAAATGTTTGTTTTGTGTCTATTTGTTGTCGTTTTGGATCTCTTCCTCATCGTTTTGTGTCTCTTTGTAGTTGTCTCTTTGTAGTCATTTTGCATCTCTTTATAATTAGTTTCACATCTTTTGTAGTCTTGTTGTAGTTTTCTTGACTTTCTGACACGAAATAGTAATGTTCCCTTCAAACAGAAGCTCTGGCCCCAGGGGTCCCATGTGCCCGGTAGTACTATTTAGTAATCCATCCATGTTCAGACATATACTATATTTAATACATGTAAATAAAGTAGAGAGGAAGACGGACCTGGTTTACGCTTGAGTTTACGACGGTGTTGCTTATTGACAAAGCAAGCTGCTAGAGTGCTGAACAGTACGGCCGCTGCCAGAAAACATATAGTCGCCACAACACCCGCCACCACAGGCCGTGCCAGCCCCTCATCAGGCAACTCTGCTGGGGGGAAGGGATCTGATGGGGCAGACAAGGGGGTAAAATGGAGAGGTTACAAACACAAAAAGTCACAAATGTATTCCTCACAAGTGCAAAGCATGCCTTTGTATAGTTTGTAATGTTTCTTTGTAAAGAAACTGACCTGTGCTAGACACTCCCACTACGTTGCTGCTCTCACTGATGAGGTCATCCATAACAGCCATTACTCGAAACTCATACCAGGATTCCTGTCAGAGAAACACACCAAATGCACGTTTCTTATGACTGTCTCATATACAGTGGGTACGGAAAGTATTCAGACCCCTTTAAATTTTTCACTCTTTGTTTCATTGCAGCCATTTTCCAAAAATCAAAAAAGTTCATTTTATTTCTCAGTAATGTACACTCAGCACCCCATCTTGACAGAAAAAAACAGAAATGTAGAAATTTTTGCAAATTTATTAAAAAAGAAAAACTGAAATATCACATGGTCATAAGTATTCAGACCCTTTGCTCAGTATTTAGTAGAAAGACCCTTTTGATCTAATACAGCCATGATTCGTTTTGGGAAAGATGCAACAAGTTTTTCACATCTGGATTTGGGTATCCTCTGCCATTCCTCCTTGCAGATCCTCTCCAGTTCTGTCAGGTTGGATGGTAAACGTTGGTGGACAGCCATTTTCAGGTCTCTCCAGAGATGCTCAATTGGGTTTAAGTCAGGGCTCTGGCTGGGCCATTCAAGAACAGCCACGGAGTTGTTGTGAAGCCACTCCTTCGTTATTTTAGCGGTGTGCTTAGGGTCATTGTCTTGTTGGAAGGTAAACCTTCGGCCCAGTCTGAGGTCCAGAGCACTCTGGAAAAGGTTTTCGTCCAGGATATCCCTGTACTTGGCCGCATTCATCTTTCCCTCGATTGCAACCAGTCGTCCTGTCCCTGCAGCTGAAAAACACCCCACAGCATGATGCTGCCACCACCATGCTTCACTGTTGAGACTGTATTGGACAGGTGATGAGCAGTGCCTGGTTTTCTCCACACATACCGCTTAGAATTCAGGCCAAAAAGTTCTATCTTGGTCTCATCAGACCAGAGGATCTTATTTATCACCATCTTGGAGTCCTTCAGGTGTTTTTTAGCAAACTCCATGCGGGCTTTCATGTGTCTTGCACTGAGGAGAGGCTTCCGTCGGGCCACTCTGCCATAAAGCCCCAACTGGTGGATTGCTGCAGTGATGGTTGACTTACTACAACTTTCTCCCATCTCCCGACTGCATCTCTGGAGCTCAGCCACAGTGACCTTTGGGTTCTTCTTTACCTCTCTCACCAAGGCTCTTCTCCCCCGATAGCTCAGTTTGGCCGGACGGCCAGCTCTAGGAAGGGTTCTGGTCGTCCCAAACGTCTTCCATTTGAGGATTATGGAGGCCACTGTGCTCTTAGGAACCTTAAGTGCAGCAGAAATTTTTTTGTAACCTTGGCCAGATCTGTGCCTTGCCACAATTCTGTCTCTGAGCTCTTCAGGCAGTTCCTTTGACCTCATGATTCTCATTTGCTCTGACATGCACTGTGAGCTGTAAGGTCTTATATAGACAGGTGTGTGGCTTTCCTAATCAAGTCCAATCAGTATAATCAAACACAGCTGGACTCAAATGAAGGTGTAAAACCATCTCAAGGATGATCAGAAGAAATAGACAGCACCTGAGTTAAATATGAGTGTCACGGCAAAGGGTCTGAATACTTATGACCATGTGATATTTCAGTTTTTCTTTTTTAATAAATTTGCAAAAATTTCTACATTTCTGTTTTTTTCTGTCAAGATGGGGTGCTGAGTGTACATTACTGAGAAATAAAATGAACTTTTTTGATTTTTGGAAAATGGCTGCAATGAAACAAAGAGTGAAAAATTTAAAGGGGTCTGAATACTTTCCGTACCCACTGTACTTCTCTGTGTATAATATACTGCACCATGTGTTCAAAAGTTTTGATATGGATATGATAATAATGCATGGCAATTCTTCCTTTTAGTATTGTTTGTCATAAAAAGAGAAATATGATTTGGAGCTGTCTTGTTTGCATTTTCTTATTTTAGTAATTTAAGTACTACAAAGGACATGTTTAAAAATTTCAACTGTAGTCTATGCCGTGACTGAATGGTTATTGAAAGGCACTAAAATGCAAACTGATAAAAAATCCATTTTTGATGATGACATATTGAAGTGTGTTCTCTTAAACACAATGCATATGATAAAATGTGGATTGCACAGAAATGGAAAAATAACTTAATTGAAAATAATGTTATTGCTAGATTATACTTGGCCGCATGAAATGGGGAGACTGTTACCAAAATGGGTAGTGTTAATTAACTTTTCAGTCAATTACTCCTCCAACTTAACCCCCACGCCACACCTCACACAGCCATGTTTCTGTATCGAAATGTGTATGTAACTGACCTGAACAAGGTCTCTGGCTATGAGCTCAGTCTCAGTAGATGGGATCAGGTCATCCAGAACCTCCCACCTCTCCCCAAGACGGAATTCCATGATATATCGGTCGACAGGAGAGGAGTGGTTGGCTGGAGGGAGCCATGTGAGGAGGACACCGTGCTGCGTGCGATTGGCTGTGAGGCACCGTGGTGGAGTAAGAAGCACCAGTGGTTCTGGGGTACCCAGAGGAGAGCCTGGGGACCAGAAATATTGCACATAAAAGTTAACAGAGAGGAAACTGATTCAGACATGCCCCAAATAAAAGAAACATTCCACAATGATCCTTTGCAGTAAAATACTCTGAAAACCAAAGTGCGGCAAACAAGATTAAGAGACAGCTATGCTAGCAACTCTGTAATGCTGCACATTGGTGCTTTGAGCTAAATGCTAACTTCAGCATGCTAATCACATGATGCTAACATGCTCACAGTGACAACGCTAACGTACTGATGTTAGGCAGGTGTAATCTTTACCCTGTTCACCATCTTAGCTCAGCGTCTTAGCATGCTAACATTTGCCAATTAGCATGAACACAAAGCACAGCTGAGGATGACGGGAGAGGAGTTGTTGGCTGAAGGGAGACGTGAGGAGGTTTGTGGATGACACCTCTCTCACAGGTGGGGATGAGTCAGCCTGCAGGGTTGGAGACTGACCATCTGATGACCTGGTGCACTCAGAACTACCTGAAGCTCCATGCTCTTAAGACAGTGGAGATGGTAGTGGATTTCACAAAGAGCTCAGCCCCACCCATCCCCATCACCCTGTGTGATTCCACAGTTTACACTGTGAAGTCCTTCTGTTTCCTGGACTCCATCATCACCCAGAACCTCAAATGGGATCTGAATATTAACTCCCTCACCAAGATAGCTCAGCAGAGGATGTACTTCCTGTGACAACTGAAGAAGTTTAACCTGCCAAAGACAATGATGGTGCACTTCTGCACCGCCATCATTAGGTCCACCCTCACCTCCTCCTTCACCATCTGGTACGTTGCTGCCATTGCCAAGGACAAAGGCAAACATTCGTTCTGCAGAGAAGGTGACTGTCGGCAATCTTCCATCCCTCTGTACAACTACAGGCGAGCAGTAAAAATTGTGGCCAACCCCTCCCACTCTTTCTGACAGTCCTGTCTGGCAGGAAGCTGAGGTCCATCAGGACCAAAATTTCTTCCCATCTGCAGCTGGCCTCATCAACAAGGCCTGAGACCCCCACTGTCAGTGACTCTGTCCTCTCTGGGGACCATGAGTGCTTGTACAAACTTTTTGGGCTATCCATCCTAGAAATGTTGAGATATGTACAACCTTACAAGTACTCCACCTGACCTCAGGCTGAATACTGAGAGAGCATTCTCTAAAGTATCTCCCTCTACAGGACCCCTGGCTAAACAAAGACTAAAATTGCTTAACATGTATGGTGACCTTCGACTGTTTTCTTTCAGGAAAAAAAAACTTTCAAAGACATGCACACAGAAATACACTGGCCTGTTGTTCAGGTTTATACTCTTGAATGTTATATCATGAGTGACACTCAAACCATCTTATCAGTGGTATGGTAACACACATCAATAATACGACAACAATACACAGTAACAATAATAGTCTTGGTTTTCGGAAACAAAAGAACAGGGGCTATAACACAGTGTTACATTAATGATGCAAGATTTGGACCTAAACCTGGGGCTCAAAGAAGTCTTATGATGTACCACTTTAAACAAAATCAATCTTCTTTTCTGATGAACCTAACATGATCTGTTATTGTACATAAACCAAACATCTCATTGTACACTGCTATTCATCTGTCTGCTATCCAAGTGTGTGAACTAGGTCAGAAATTTGCACGCCTGTTTGTTGGCAAAGTTTAGCAGAATCTGTGTTTGCAGTACAGTACACTGTATAAAACAAAGCCGGCATTGTGAAGAAGTTCCTGTCAGGGAGTCTCTGAGATTATGTTTTTGTTAAATTGTCAGTTCTCAGGTTGGTTTTTCTTAATTTAAGTTTTTATATTTGATATCTTCAGAGCTTAGGGTCATTGTAGATCACTTAATGCATCAACTTTTTTCAGCAAGTGCCAGTTAGACTACATAGTTTTGAGTCAGTGCACACACAGAGGACTTTGGGTGTGCCTTGATCTGTGCATGCCTTTATTCAACCCCTTCACTTCTTTGTCCTTTCAACTGCATGGTTGAAAATCCTGCAATGCACTTTTCTCCCTTCATGCCTTTTTTTTTGCTGAGTCACTGATTTTAAATACCATACACCTTTAATTCAGTTTCTGTTCAGGCGGCGGGACACAGAGACTGAATTGGCAGCATGCCTTAAGACATGTAAAAGATGTAAATACACTTCAAATCATGAATTTCTTAACCGCAGCTACGTTCTGCTCGATTCCCTGACTAACCGCTTACTAACACAACGCATCTTCCACAACGCATCTTCCATACACTGTCTGATGAATGAAATACTCTCTCCAGTATCCGTGCACAAGTGTCATTGTCACTGGCAAACCCCAACTGTTCACCATCATAAAGCTGCGGAAACTGCCTTCATGTCTCCCATGCACTCTCCCACATAACAGGTACAGTAACAGTTACGCTAATGCTGTACAAGCCACCGAGCGGAACGCCATTATTCCTGTCTGTTTGAATCAGGTTGCCTAACTTCAAGCTGTAATTAATAAGTTGACCCATTGTGAAGGTTACTTTAACAAGGCCTGATATTTCTTTTCATGGTTTTTATTTTTATTTATTAACTGGACAATTGACTTATTTGCGCTGGCATGCCTTTTGTTTATCTGCCAAATGTTTGTTTACACCCGGTTGTCGTAAAACTGTACTGATGTATTGCCAGTTGTTCTCAGTTATTATCGTAAAATCATTGTTACCTGTTGTATTGTTTCTCATACTGCCATAGGCCTATTGATTTGAATGCTAATTTCGGTATACTATTGCCTAATTGTTTAATGGAGCTATCTCTACTTTGTTATCTCTGTTGCAGACCTATGTGTGTGCTATTAATGGTCTCTGCTTAGTCTCTTTATTTGGCCTTCTCACGGAGATGCCTTGGCATAAGAAGGCTGGGGTTGCTGAGCCTGAATCTGAGTTTTTTGTGATAATGTTTATTTGTGTTTGTGTATTCGTATGTGTTTTTGTTGTTATATTACTATTATACTTTTACAACCCTATTAGATCTTTTTTGTTTTGCCTATACTCCAACTTATTCTCTAATAATTTGGTACTCCCATGAACTCTTACTTTCTAAAAATTATTCATCTGAATATAAGAAGTCTGTTGCCAAAAAACGATTTATTCCGTGCATGTGTAGACCAGCATAATCCTAATATTATTACACTTTCTGAAACATGGCTTAATAGTAAAATTTCTGACAAAAAAATAAAAATTTAAAATTGTATACTAGCGGCTAGAGCTGATATAGGCTCAAGGGGTGGTGCTGTGGCTACATACATTTCCTCTAACGTAGTGTCTGAGCTATTACACCCTTAGTTAAACCAGTACACTTGCCTGTTTGTTAAAATAACTTTTCATCATAATAAATATATAACTATTGGAAACGTGTATAGACCTCCCTCAGTCCCTGTAGAGTCCTCTGACTGTTTAACCTCCACCATGACTTGATCTCTTGTAAAAATTAAATTATTATTTTAGATGAATTTAACAAAAATTGGCTAAAGTCTTCTACTAAGGATAAAAATAATTTGGGAAATCTAAACCTAACACAACTTATAATGGAACCTACTCGAATTATCCCAACATGTCAGTCTCTACTCGATCGCATACTTGTCTCTCACCCTGACAGATTTACTAAAGCGGGTGTTTTGTCTGATTGCTTCAGTGACCACTAAGCTATTTATTGTATATGAAAGATTAGAATTCCTAAATCTCCACCAAAATTAATAAACATTAGACAAATTAAGAAAATGAACATAGATCTATTTATTAATGATGCGATTTTTATTAATTGGGATAGGTTCCAATTAATACCCAATGTTCAGGATGCCGGGGATTATTTACATTCTGAGTTCACTCCAGTAATCGACAGACACGCTCCCTGGAAAATATCAAAAGGTGAAGGGAAGACACTTGCCATGGATAAGTACAGAAATTATAGGTCTCTTTAAGCAGAGGGACAAGTCTTGGGCTATATATCGTCAGACAAACAAAAAATGATGACTGGGAATCATGCAGACAACTAAGAAATATTTCTAAGACAATGACCCACAATATAAAATCTAATTATTATAAAGAATGTCTCTCTAATAATTTTAATAATCCTAAACAATTCTGGAACAGTTTAAAAGCCATAATACTAATATATATATATATATATATATATATATATATATATATATATATATATATATATATATATTATTATTATATATTATTATTTCTTATACTGAAAGTTTTAAGAACATTTCACCTTGTCACAGTACCTTTTCCTTTACAAAAATAACACCTACTAATGTTTTAAATGCTATTAAACAACTTAGTTCGAGCAGCGGTGCAGGACTTGATGCGATTGAATCCAGATATATTAAATTAGCTTCTCCTATTCTCATGTTTCCACTAGCTGACCTGTTTAATATGTCCTTGTCTACTTCTGAGTTACCAGCGATCTAGAAATATTCACGCATTACTCCACTCTACAAAGGTGGTGATTGTCTTGATCCTAATAATTACAGACCTATATCAATGATTTGTTCTATTGCTAAAAAGTATTTGAGAAAACAATATTTAATCAGTTATCACAGTATCTTGAGAACAATAATATCCTTTCACCATTTCAGTATGGTTTAAGACCTAATCATTCAACAACTACTGCTCTTTTAAAACTTACTAATGATGTGTTTTCAACATCTGATACTGGTAATTTTACAGGGGCTATTTTTATTGATCTCAAAAAAGCTTTTGATTTGTTGGATCACTATCTACTTTTAGATTAGCTGTATACAATTGGCTTATCTCAAAATGCATTATTATGGTTTAGTTTGTATCTACATAATAGAAAACAATGTGTTGTTCTTAAACGGAGTAGGTCGGATTTATTTGTTCAACAAAGAGGTGTACCCCAAGGTTTGACCCTGGGTCCACTTCTTTTCTCTATTTTTATTAATTATCTGCCTTTAATCTATTCTAATTCCTCTGTTCAACTATATGCAGATGATACTGTCATTTATAAGTCTAAACCACATTTATTGCAAATCCAAACTGCTCTTCAATTGTATTCAATTCAAGTATTTGTTCACAGCCTCTGTGTGGCTATCAAGTGGTTGTATTAACTTAAATGCTTATCTTTTTTTTGTTTGTGTTTTTTTTTGTTTGTTGTTGATGTTGTTATTGTCTTTGTTGTAGTGTGGTGATTGTAGTATTGTCTCTGTCTTAATATTGTAATGTGTTTCATTTGTCCTTTTGTTCTTTATTGTATTGTATATTAGGACCCCCTCGAAAACGAGATGGTTCATCTCAAGGGGTTTATCCTATTCAATAAACTTATTCCAATATTCAAAAAAAAAAAAAAAAAAAAAAGAAAGTCTCTCTGAAGTCAAAAAGCAGCAGCCATGGATGGAAAACCCTTTGATTAAGTACCCACCTGCAGTGTTGACTGTCACAACTTCGCTGAATGGGCCCGTGCCCAGTTTGTTTTGTGCCAACACACTGAACTGGTACTCTGTCCCAGGCTCCAGCCCTGGCACCACCAACCAGGTCTGAGCACCAGAAACAGGCATTGAATGCCAGTCGTGAGGACCGAAGTCTGTTCTCTTTGACCTAACAACAGAAATGAGACAGAAAAGCAGAAAAAGTATACACAATTTAAGGGTAAAAACTGAATAATGGTGAGTAATACGATTAGTCACAAGACAGTGTTGTTCAGTAGGTGGGTGCTGAAATATTGCAGTTAATTTAAGGGTCACGCACCAAATAAGACATCTCTTACTTCATGGTCTTGCACCAGCCTACTTGTCTGACATGCTTGCAATAAGGTCTTCTTATTGATTTGTTCCAAACTGCACAGCAAATACCTTTTATATGCACTGAGCCGTTGTCTGAGGATCTGCAATCAGCTGAAAGTGTTGATATCTTTTTCATTATTTCATTGTATTTATATTTTAAAATGACATATCTATTTCATTTGTTATTAAAAGTGTTTTGTTTTATTTCAGCATCTATTTTATTATTCAATTATTACATTTTCATTTCAAACTTTTATTTCTCGTGTGCATTAGTCTAAATTGTTTTACTGTTTACATTTGTACTCTTATTATCAGCTTGTCAGTCATCTTTAAAGCACTGTGAATTGCATCAACCAGTACAAAAGGTGCTATACAGACACAATTTAATTGACTGATGGATAGAGCAAGTTAAACAAAAAACAAGGTTTACAAATAAAATGCTTAAAGTTGTCTCTCAGCCAATATTCACTGTAACATTCAAAAATGTTTAATTATAATGTGAAGTGTGTATTGATTGGTCAGTTCTACCTGTTTAAATGACACTGATCAGCTTTACATTGAAAAAGGAACATTGGTGGTTTGCCAGAAGTAACTGAATTCTCTGCTCATAAAGCAGTGTGACATATATCCGTTTCACTCCTTGTCAGCTCCACAGTAAGGTTACATCCATTTTTACAGTCAACAAATGTGTATTTGGTGGTACCTGGACAGATATACGGACATGCATTAAAAAACACTTTTTGCTCTGGCTACTATAAGGTGCATAGAACACATGTATGATGCTGAGTGAGATGTTACTTGAGTGACACTCAATTTCTTTCCCAATACACACCATGAATTTTGCACATGCAAATCTACTAATTACCCCAAATATAAAAATAAAAGAAATATGCTGTCAAAACAACTCTCCTCTGAGCGTCTGATTTAATTTCAGATTTTATTGTCATCAATGAAGAGGAAGAAAAAAACCTGCATGTCAAACTCGGCCGATAACCTCCAGGTAGTGTTTCCACATCTGCAGACTGCTGCCATTAATTTAAAGTTAAGTAAGAGCACTTACACTGGACCGTACCACACAGAGAATGTCTGTTCGAAGCCGCCATCGTATCCTGGTTCCCAGGACACATTAGCAGAGGTTGTTGAGGGCAATACATGGATATTGCCAGGAGCATGCGGGCTGGTGCCTGAGTGGTTGTTAGAGGCAGAGAGAGGGAATATATTTAAAAAGCACAAGTACTATTTTACTTATCAGACATATAACTACTTAGAATTATAATTTAATATCACCTGCAGTAATGAAATTATATACTGTAGATCCTTTTAACATACATAATGTAGTGACAAGTCATATGAGGAGCATTTTGTTGCTGTTTTCACCCCCCAAAATGCTGCACTAGTGTCTGCCTGCCTCTCGTGGATAATGTCATGCTGGCTGAGGTGTTGACCAGTGTAAGTTGAAGTTCAAGAGCAGCAATGCTGTCTACATCTCTGCTCATCCCACCCACCTAACAGCTGTGCTGTGTTGCCCGAAGCCCAGCTACTTCTCACTGGGATAAAAGGGAGACCTGAGTCTGAGGAGCACAGCTGTCTTCGCCGCTCTGTGATACCTGTCAGCTGAGGGCTGGTCACGCGGAGCGCTGACAGCTGTGCAACAGCATAACGACTCTACAGGCACTGGGGCAATGGGCTACTGTGGCAGACTTACTTACTAACCAGACTTAAAGGAGTAGTTATTATTTACTTATTTACTTTCTTGTCTATGTTAAATAAAAAGATTCATACCATTCTCATGTTTGTACACTAAGGATAAAGCTTCAGCCTGAAGGGGAGGAAGCTTAACTTAGTAAATAATAGCATAAAGTAGCTTAGTTTTTGTACAGGACACACAAATCAGATATAACGTGTTAATTAGCAAGCTTTAGAGGGCAAATTTATTTAACCTTTGGACAGAGCCAGGCTAGCTGTTTCCCCCTGTTTCCAATCTTTATGCTAAGCTCAGCTACTGCAGGCTGTACCTTCATATTTAGCATACTAAGCATGAGAGTGGCATCAGTCTTCTCATCCAACTCAAACAAGTGAATTTCCCAAAATGTCTAATAACTATTCCTTCACACACCTAAAGATACACACAAGTTCTTCAATAAGACACTATTGTAGTAAGAACTTGTTTTTAACACATATCAAGTCACAAGTAGTACTCTTCCCTGTGCAAAAATATAATAAAATTGGTCCTAATTTTCATACATCTGAAACATATACTATATACAAATCCATCTTTCTAGCCTACAGGGGTTGAATATTTGATACTAAACAGACTTGTGTGCCTGTCATTGCTATGCAGATGTATACTTAACATGATTTGTATTATTCACCATAATAATCACAAGTCAATAAGATTTTTCTGCCAGTTCAGTGAGGCTGTGTTAGAACTTTGTGCAAGGCATTTTATCTACTCAAAATGGCTGCTATTACTGTGTTAAAGACATCGCTACAACTTAAGGAAGCAAGGGGCATAATCACTGCTACAATCGCAATTTGTATCAGAGAACACAGCAGTTACAAAGGCCACTTAAAGGCAAAGGCACCATATGCACAAAGTTCGCTTCAATTTGCATTTCAGGTATTAAATGAGGCTTTCTACAATGTTCAGTTTGAGAGCTTGTTGTACCACAACTTTTAAACACAGATAATTTAACTAACAATCCTTTGTGCATGTGGACCTTCATAGCCCTATTTAAACTTCATAACCATGCTTGGCTTTGTCGTCACTTCAGTCAATCAATTAAGGAGTACAAAGATGTCCTTCGTCCACTAACTCAACAAAGGCGGTAGCGACAGTGTTTTAGCAGAGAGGTGGATACCACACTGTAGTTACAGATTCAGGCTTTAAATTAAGCTATTACAGATAAGATCTAATGAAATTTTAATGCTGCCCAAGGGGAAATTGAGTAGAGGCAAGGTGTTTGAGGGATGAGGTAATACAAATCACTCAAACCACATGGAAAGGTGGGATCACAATGAACTCAAAATAACCATGAGCAAGCTCTGGTGAGCTGAGAGCACTGTGCAGATTGTTTGTACCGATGACTAGGATACGCGTGCTGGCAGTGATGCTCGTGACCACATTGGTGGCTACACACTCCCATTCTCCATGGTCCTCCTTGCTGAGGGACAGAAACTGTAAGCTGCCACTGGGTAGGATGTTGTGCTTACTCTTGCTTGGCTTCCCCACCTTCAATGGAAATGGAAATTACAGCAACATGGTTAAATAGTGGTGAGCAAACAAATATTTCAGCACATAAGTAAAAACAAGTGCAGAAGATGATTTATAACGTATTTGTTATAGTTATGTTTGTCTAATGCACCTTTCTCCAGGTGATGGTTGGTATATCAGGGTCTCCAGAAGCAGCACAAGGGATAACTAGCTCTCTCCCAGCCTCCTGACGGTACTCCCCCCCAGGCCTCACATTAAAGTAAGGGGGATCCTAGAGAAACACAACAGACCATCATGCAGACCTCCGGTACAAATCAGTCTGCAGAAAATGAACAGCAGACGCAAACATGAGCAGCAATGTACCTTTAGCACCAAAGTGGCAGGGGGGGACATGCCCATGGTACCCAGGGCGTTGTAAGGCACACAGGTGTAGGTGCCCAGGGAGTCTTCAGTGGCCTCTGCCACCCGGATACTTCCATCTGGCATCAGGCTCCAACCGGGGTACTACAAGATAAAGGGGGCATCTGATATGCTTGATTTCAGGGTTTGTCCTGAACTGTCAGGGTCCCGTCTAAATGTTTTTGAACTGCACAAGAAAACAAAAATCCACAATAAATCCATTTAAATCAGGTGAATGAGAAGTGAATGCTTATGCGATGCAGGCGAGCTTGTCTGAGATCCAGCCCTTGACAGAAGCGCAAAAATACTACCTCACTGACAGCAGATTAGATAGAGAAACAGATAGAGATAAGCAGAGATATACTGTATCCAAGTGGCACTGGCAAAGTTTGAATATGACTGCTTTCTTTACACATATCTGTGAATGAGCACAGGACAGTCAATTAATTAAAAAGACTTAATTACAAGTAAGTCTTAAAAATCATACTTGAGTAAAAGTACAAAAGTATTACCATCAAAATGTACTTAAAGTATCAAAATTAAAAGTACTTGTTCCGAAGAACACAACCCCTATGAGTGACATGTTATTATAGATGACATTATTTTAATGTTAATATTGTTGCATTAATGTGTAAGTAGCCTTTTACTGTTGTAGCTGGCCGAGGTGGAGCTATTTCCAGCTCTAGTGGTTCCCAACCTGGGGGTGGGGCCCATCCAAAGTGTCACAAGATATATCTGAGGGGTCATAAGATGATTAATGGAAGAGGAAAGAAGAAAAAACACTTCTGCTACACAAATTTTTTTATTCATTTTTAGGACTTTTTCTCTAATGTTAATTTTTTTGTGAAATAGTAGATAATTTTACCTCTTTGGGCCACAAAGATATTTTTAAATGAAACCATCTGAGAAGTTTAGAAGGGAAATATGTCTTTGGTGGAACAGCTAACAACCCATAGACATCTGAAAAGACATTGTTTGCCACAAGCTGATGAAAATCTTACAAGTAACTAGTTGTCAGATAAATGTAGTTGAGTAGAAGAATAAAGTAGCATATGATGGAATTACTGAAGTAAAGTACAAGTACCTCAGAAATGTATTCAAGTACAGCACTTTACACCACTGACAAAGGAAAAGGTTTGTTTAAAACTTTTAACGCCCACTGTTCTGCCTGCATGATGCTAGCATTGCGTAGAACCGTCACAGGTTGATGAATATGAACAATATATGTGTTTAGAGATTGGACGCTCAGCTTTTCCACCATTTTCAAAATTCCTGTCATATCAGTAATCCAAGTAAAACACACAGAAGAGTATAAAACTACTACTTAAAAAAGTTGCAGTGTCCTTACCTTCAAAGCTGTCTGGCGGTCTAACAACGTAATAAATATTTTTACGTTCACACGGGTCTATTAATCAAAAATGCTCCGTTTCATTTTCTTTCATTTAGCTGTTCAACCTCCCACAAAAGAGAAGTGTTAATAGATTAAACTAGCGGAATTTAAGCTAGACACATTCAGGCAGCAGCATGCCCCTTTATAATCTGAATTTTCTGTTAAATCTGCTAAAGTTTTATCATCATCATAAATCTGATCACATCTACTGTGAGGCTGGGCTGAGCCACCTTTCTATCTGCTGATGCACCAAATATATCACAACAGTCATACAGTACCTATTGTGAAATTAGGACCAATTTACTAACTCCAATAACATTTACATTAAATTTTGTAACATTTTATTTTGATAGTCCCAGTATTTGTACCATTTCACCTGTTTTACTTTGTGTGTAGTTGTTTAACAGATTATCAATAGAGTATATGATAATTCCTTAACATACACTAACCAAGATGTTTTTTTCGCCTAAACCTAACCAAACCTAGAAATACTCTATAAACTATCTGTAGATGGACTATCCGGATAAAGTGTAACCAAATACTGTTTGGTTTTATCCAAGGTAAATGTAGCAGTGGTGTAACACAGAGGGGAGGCTAAACGAAGCCCCGAGGCCAACTAACCTTCTCCACTCTGAGAGGATAGCCATCTTTCTCCCACTTCACTGATGTCACAGGTGGGTTGGCGTCCACCGGGCAGCGGATGATGCCTGGCAGTTTCCGTGGGACGTAGATGACCGGGGGCATGTTGATCACTCGGGCAGGGTCTGGACATGAAGGAAAGGTCAGTGTTAGGGATGCTGGATACATAATAAATGATGCCAGAGTCATTTGTTTGACATAATATAATGTGCAAAGAAAATCATTTCAAAAGGACTAGAAGTAAAAGCATTTTATCTGCTTATCTCCTATCTCTGCAGAGGTGTCCTAACCTGTGTTCAAATGGCGTTCAGGCAGAGATATTCTGCGAGAGGAGAGATGTTTTGGGAACCCTTGACCACAATAAGCTTATTAAACAATCATTTTGACAATAATTTTTTAAACGGATATTGAGCAGGATGCAGAGCAGAACACATGATCTCCTGTCAGAAATGTGGTTTTTTTTGGAACATGGAAAAAACGGCTTGTGCAACAGAAATAAAAAAATTTAACAGTCATAAATCAAACTTTCATTGCATTTTTTTGCCACAATGCACAAGAACAAGGGACTATATCACCTGCAAAATGAAGTATATCTCTACTTAATTACAACAGGTAGAATATATGGCCTATAAACTAGCAAAATATTATTTATTTTCTTTAAAATAATAGCAGGGCTATATTATTTCAGAGATATGTTTATTTCACTATGGGCACTTCCCAAGACTGGGTGACGTTACAGAAATAATAATACTTTTTCTTTGCTTGTAGGAACATTAAAGAGATGCAGTTGAAAGGGGATTTAGGAGAAGAGAAGATTAGGCTAGCCAGGCATTATTATAGGCTGTAAGAGGATGTGGTGTTGGCTGTAGTATAGTCAAATGACTCACTATTTAAATTTACTTTTAAACTCCATTTATTCTTAAAGCCAGAGGAGGGGCTTGCCAATGTTTTCTTACAGTCTAAATAGAATATTTAATAATTTTAATGAGATTTAATGAAGTTATTTGCCTATACACATAAAAAGTGGTGCTATTTTCTGCATTTACACTTTTTAATATTTCTAGGTTAACTTTCAGCACAATTCCTTTTAGTGATTCTGAGATGCTTGATGAATCCAGGCCTAGAGAATGTTTTGCATGAAGCGTACAGGACACTGGTTTAATCATAGTCTGCTGTATTTGAGGCCAGTGTTGAAATCAGTGCCTGCAGTGCTGCAAATCCCCCGGCTCTCTCTCATACTGTAGCACAGTAATCAATGACCAGCAGCAACTTGGGAGCAAATTAGCAACACACAAGGGCCGACGATGAAACATCAGATGCCTATGAGTGGCATTTCTCTCTCATCGGTCAGAGCTGATGGAAAAGGAAGGTCACCACTTCATTGGGGGGGGGCGCTAGATTCAAAAGACACGAGGAAAAATGGAGTCTAAGGACGAGCCTGTCCCCATCTTTGTGCACAGGAATGAAGCTGCAGTGGGAATAGATAAGGATTCTATGATTAAAATCCACTCAGAATATGAAAATGGTCAAAGAGGCTCAGTCAAAAGGACAAGGGGGCGAACTGTGCTCCCTCTTTGTCACATCTGACCTTGTAATTCAAGAAGGTTACTTTGTGTTACAGCGGCAGAGCAGCGCTGCCAAATAATACAGCAGCCTCCAACACAAGCAGCCTCCATAATGCTGCTGCTGTTCCCTTCTTCTCACACAGCTCGCTGTACCATCTCCCCGCCCCTCCCCCTCCACTTTGTTGCCCCGGTAACACTCACACTGAACAGTCAGGTAGGCTGACGCCGAGGGCGAGATACCGAGGCTGTTGCTCGGACTGCAGGTGTATTTCCCAGCATCCTCCGGCTTGACCCGGAAGATGATAAGGGTGCCGTCGATGAGAATGCGCACTCGGAGCTTCAGATCACTGCAAAAAGACAGAGACGTTTTGTCAGACCGTGTTACACCAACAGGACAAGGCACACACTATTTTTTTCTTTCTTGCTGAATTACACCAAGACGCCATAGGAGAGCAGCAGAGAGTCAAACAGCAGCTGGCTCTGAGAGGGATCCAAAGAACAGACAGTACAGAGCAGGGAGATTCAAATAAATCTGCTAATTGCCATAATCGCCAAATGGTACAGCCTCTTGACACCGTTTAGAATTGAAACACATTAATGATGGAGCTGCTGTCCTTGTCCACACAGTGACATAATTAAACATTTCATAATGCAACAGAATTGAAGCTCAATATGTCTTTCAAAAAATGGTTTCTAATATCACCCCCTTTTATTAAGGATTTATACTACTTATTAACTACTGGCTTTATTAATAGCTAGTAAATCATTAACAAAGGTTTACAGATCAGTTAAAAGCCATTAATATGCATTATATAATGGTTTATACACAATGTAAAAACCCATTAGTTAAAACATAAGAAAATAAGATGCATGCCTTTGATGTGTTTTTAGTTATTTATGATCTTTTTTGAAGCTTTGTCTTTGAGAATCTTGAAAAGCTATATAAATACATTGTATTATTATTATTATTATTATTATTATTATAGATACAAAATACAATAAGACTTTATTGATTGACAAAATTAACATGTTAGAGTAGCACATAAACAGAGAGGTATAAAATAGCAGATAAAGAACTATTTGAATATAAAAAAGAAAAAATGAAAGAAATTAGAGAGATGACCTTACAAAAGCTAAATACAATACATACATTCCTATACTTATATACGCAAATATTTGTTTTACAATGTGTGAACTACATGAGATAAGTTACTAATTCTTAAACTACTAGTGCCATAGTAATAACTAGTTATAGCAAGTGAATTGTAAAAAAAAAAAAAAAAGAAAAGAAAAGAAAAAAAGATTAATGCCATGAAAGCTGTTTAAAATTGGACTGGACACTTCAGTTCACTTCCTCTGTGAAAAAAAAGTTTTCACTGCAAGTCAAAGTCCTATTCACTTGTTCTTCCTTCCCATTTGTTCTGTCTGTCACTAAAAAAAACCCTCTCAGGCTCTAAAGACCTGCTCTGGGAGCCCGCAGAGGTACTGGCTACGCTTCAGCTCATCACTGCATGAGAGGCATATGATGACACAAGGCCTAAGTCATGTGATATTGTCATCAGAGCACACTAACTCGGCTGGCACTGTCCAGACAGACCCCCCGCCAGGCCCTCGCTTACTGTCTCTAGGGCCGCAGTAGGACAGGTCACCGGCGCACACACACACACTCACTCACTCACACACTCACACACACACACCAAAAGCTTCGGGGTAAAAGCCTTATGCAGCCTGCAAGGTGGTGATTTAAATGCCTCTGAGAAAGGGCCTTTAAGTCATAACCTCACTCAAGTGCTTAACTAACATGTTTCCAGACAGAGAGTTACTGCAGCTACAGCACAGACATGAACTCGATCATAACTTTACTTCTTGAAGTAGACGTTATCCTCTTCCCAGTACCAGGTGTAGGTCAGGTTGCCAGGATATGCCTCCGCTTGGCAGGTGAAGAGTGCATTCTGGGATATGTTTACAGTGACGTTTTCTGGTGGAGAGACGATGTATGGAGGCCCTGAGAGAAAAAGACGCAAGTGATTTAGTGCATCTTGTGTTGTGCACCTGTGACAGAACAGTCTACTATTTTAACTATTTAAAGATGCAATTTTTGGGAGGGGGGGACACAAAACGGACATATCATCATCTATTTGTTAGCAAACAGTTGCCTAATTACACATGCACAAACACTGCACTGCCTGCATGCGTCTGAGGGTGGTGAGTACGTAAGTAAGTAAACTTTATTTATGTAGCACCTTTCACAAGTGATGAACCAAAACAGTAAGGTTGTGGGTCGTAAAATCAAAACAATGAACTGAAAGGCACTAAAAAGCTCAGTGGAGTTGAAGGAGGAGCTTCAAGTATCATCTTGGATTTACCTAATCACTAATTATACTTTTATTTAACACATTAAAAATGTCAGAAAAATTAAACAAATTTACAATGAAATGACATTAGATTTGATTCTATCGATGATTACTACTCTAATGTATTGAGCTTTTCTTTTGAAAATCACAGTGCACCCCGGGATATTTTTAGCCCTGACATTCTTTAACCAAGTACCAGAGATGGCTGCCTCAAGTTAAGTACAACTCATTATTTACAACCAGATATCACAACTAACAGATATCTGTCAAATAGTAGAGAAGACCATTAAAGGGATGAAAAGTAGCATTAAATCATAAAGAAATCATATGCAGGCCTACTCTCAGGGTGAGAAACAGCACACACTGTCTATTATTTACAATATATCAACACAGTCTGGTGTAAAATACAGTGAGCAGGCAGCTATTGTAACCTTAATAGTAGTCAGTGTTGACACTTATGCATGCTTCACATTGTAACCTTTTCATCTCCTGAGGTACTCTAGGTTTGTTCTTAACTCTCAATAAAACAGTAGAAGCCATGAAAGGTAAGCTGTCTTTTATGAGTGGGCCCAGATACAAGCCTTCTGGTTATTTTCCTCTCAGCATGCGCAGCTTTATGCATCAGGTGGGACTACTCACGGCACTGTGCAGGCGTCTCGCATAACAATTAAAAACAGATCACGGGAGTGAGAATCATGACTCCTCAGATATCTGCTTGTTATTGCTCTGGGTATGAGTCCTAATCATACCCCGCATTTTATTTCACAGCGCCTTTCATGCCAATATGCAACCAAACTCAACTCCAGTACACTTCATTTTTGTGGTTTTCTTACCGCAAACTAACTGTAGATTTGCTAAAAGTGTTTCATACATTAAAATACGGTTTTATGAGGTGCAACGTGACACGTTTTGTGTGCATGTAGAGTCATTCTGGTATTTATATGTCAGAGGTTAACAAGACTATTGCCGTGGCTGAGATATTTGGCAGGTGAGAGCTCTGTGAATAGGGGTGGACAACTCTACAATAAAAACTACTTTTATGGGTTGAATTATTCAAAAGTCTTATAACTGAAATGTTATCCCTCTGTGTCTCAGTTGGGATTGGCCTACGCTAGTCCAATACACAAAGAAATATTAAGTGATAGCTACAACGGTATGACTATATGGCAACTGCAGTTAACAAATGTATCACAGTAAATGTTCATAGTTTTAATTTCAGGGCTCTTGTATTGTGTGCTTTATAGTATCAGGTGTTTTTCTATGCAGAAGCTGAATGTACAGGTAGTATTGTCCTGTTTTGCCTCTCACATGGAAAGCAAGAAGTCCACACTTGAACCACCGCTGCTGCAGTGTGTTGTGGTTGAAAGAACAGGTACGGTAGTATTGGCAGGTCCATTGGAGGCCTGCAGACTTAATGCAGTTGCATCACATGCACCAGCGGTTACACTGTTCACTTGGTTACAACACAATGATTTTTTAATGTGTGTTTGCAGTGAGTGTACACATACTGTACATTTACTATACTGCGAACAAAGACGAGAGTAAGTGTAGTGTAGTAATTACTACACAAGTCAAGCATTAAAACAGACCTTAAGTTAACTCTACTTGTTAAATACACACTACTAACTCGCCTCCCGCGCTGCTGTATCAGGAGACTGAGAGAAGTAGTAGCTGGCATCGCAACCATCTATCTGATCTGTGTCTAGTAGAGAGCCTGGTTAATGGACTGGAGACTGACAGTGACGTCCTCACAGACAGATCCTGTTGCACACATGGCTGTGCACAAGAGCATGAATACACAGAAGCCCCAGACTGAGCTATTGACTGACTGACACCGACTCAGAAGGTATGTTACACACATCAGCATACCAGAGAGAAGCAATGCAAATGCAATATTTGGCCGCAGGTAAAAAGGGTTGGAAACATGTTTTTTCATTTCATAATCTAGTGCAAATATATTTGTCAACAACACTTACGAATAAACTCTTACATCTAGCAGTCTTGCTACACTACAGCGTGCTTAATGTAAGGATACAGTACCTTGAACCAGCAGACGGGTGGTGTGGAGCACTTCTCCCTGGTCACTGTAGGCTCGGCATGTGTACGCTCCTCTGTCATCTCTAGTGATGCCAAGGATTGTTAGACTGCCATCATGTACCTGTGGTTACACGCAGCAGAAATGGATGACGCAAAACATTAAAATAATGTGACAGCGTCATCATTTTGTTTTCTTGAATAATCACTTAATTGCTTGGTCTGTCAAATGATAGAAAATAGTGGGAAATGTCCCCGAGCCCACAATGGCATCTTTCAATAGTTTTGTCCAGGCGACAGCCGCTGTCATTTAAAACAAGGAAAAGCGGCAATATGAGGAGATAGAACTGTAAAAGGAATTTTTGCTTGAAAAATGGCTTTTAAACAAGTAGACACTTATTAAAATAGTTTATATAAACTATATAGTTAGTATATACTTAGTATACTACGTAAGTTTTGATCAGAGTCATCTCTAAAGAACATACATCAAACACTTAAAAATCTTGAATGGGTCATGCTTTAATTAACTCCAGTTCTGATTCCTGCATCTTGTAACCTTGGAAACGTCTAACTCAGTATTGCTGCGTGTTCCTGTGTGCAGCCACTGATGAGAACCAATAAGTGGTGAAGAAACACATTAACCAAACCTAATAGAAACACCCTTATAAATTATGCAACAGGTTGCGAGAGGCTGTGTCCATTCAAGTCACACACAGCTGTAGTCTGTCCATTCATGCAGCTGAGGGGGGAATCTGCTATGCCTGCAGAATTATTCCTATTCATCTTTCGTCTTTCAAATGTTTTATAGCCAAGAGATGCTACTAGTATATCAGCCCAAGCAACATTTAACTTCTGTCAGTCTTTTGTTGGCAAACGGAATCATCATAGCTCAGATTGTCTATCACAAGATAACACTTGGTGCATCACTGCTGTAACATATGACGTGTGGTGTGTTGAGACCTAGAAGTGTAAACTAAACACTGATGTGTTGTGAGGCACTGATTCAGGCTTGGGAAGCCATTTGTATCGATTTAAAAAGTTGGAAGCGATTAAAACTGATTAAAATTGTCTCAATTAAATGCTTGTGCTAACTACAGTCTGGCTGATTTGGCAGATTTTCTGTTCAGCCTCCTTCACAAACCAGTAACTTTTACTGAGCTGTCACTTGCGGCTCATGTTATGGTTTAAAAATAAAAGCCTCTCGCTGAAATATCATGTATTTGATTGCTGTTGACTCTTTTATACAATTCATAAATGTAGAGCTGTAAAGGCAAAATGGAATAGCTGTGTTCAGACAGAAGGCAAAGTGGATTTTCGCCTCATGGGAATGAACAAATCACGTTCCTGTGTCAACGCTCATTAGCAAACATGAATAAATAAGCAACCTGCACTTTTTCCAACAGTTTACATGACATTGGGCCAAGTATCCCTTTATTTTTGTTTCTGTCTGTTATCCTGGAGGCCAGGGGTTCCAGAAAGTACAATAATGATCTTCCGCCTTACAAACAAGTTTCCACAGCAGGTAGGCTAAAGACAACTTCCTGTCCCACAACTACATTGCTTTTTGTAAAATACATTTTTTTTTGTTTCAACTTACCCATACAGCCTGGGCGAATTTGTGTCTATCATTTTGCAAATTACCATTAACTTTGTGTGCAATCACGCCTCCTTTAGAATTCACCTCACATTCTGTCTGAACACCTCTTTTTTAATCCTGGGATGTTATGTAGCACTGAATATATCCCTGGATCAAATCATTACACTCCTACAGAACAGACAGCACATGCTGTAGTGATTGTAGCAGACTGCTTACAACAGTAAAGTTAACAGGATCTGATGATATGTAATGGTCATCAGTCCATTCCAATACTTTCTGTGCTGGACTCAATCCAAGGTGAGGGAGAGAAGATTAAAGAAAAAGGAGGATATGGGGGAGGAAGTCAGCTGCAGATGAGGGGAAAAGGGGGAGAAGAAAGAAGAGGCAGTAGATAAGGTGAGGCATGAGATGAAGGCAGAATCTCAATTTCTGTCACATGCACTTCACTGACACATCCAGAGAGACTGATATTAGGCTCTGAAACAGCAGGAATCTGCTGTTGTTATCCTGCTAGCTTTTTTTTGCTTGTGATTTGAGTGAACTTTGGAGAAGACCCTTACAATCCCACCCTAGGTTTCTGTCCTCTCCTGCACAACTGTTTTGTTTAGTATCTTTGTTGGTGGTTCTTTTTTTCCCCTGTGCAAATAAGTAAAGTAATAAAGTAAAGTAAAGAGAGGAGAACAAGGTTGGAGGAGGAACTCTCTAACCCTGTCTGTCAAATTCCTGCCTTTCTCCATGACGTCTCCATGGATCTGAGCATGTGGGTGAGCAAATATACCCTCATGCTCGCTTCCTCTCTTTTCACCACAAGAAGGAGCTTACCCAAGTTTGATGTTTTCACTTGAGCATATACTTGAAACAGCCAAATGGATGAAGAACGCTGATAAATGCACTGCCTTTTATTTAACGGTGAAGTTAGATATGTGTGCCGTTTTGCTCTCACTAACAATTTTCATTTTTTGTGTAACATTCATATTAGGACTAATGTAATATTGATGCAGAAGAAGGAGATTAATAATGCATCAGAATGATCGTTTACTGAGGGAATGGTGTTAAAAAGAACTGACTGGAGGGAAAGACGGTGGAGGAAAAAGGGTAAAATGAAAGAGAAAGAGGAATAGGCCCCTTAACAGACACTCATGTCTGCGCCTGTCACTTCCTGTATCACACAGACAGCTGTAAAGAGTTGATAGCGCCTGCAGCAGACTGCAGTCTCACTGACATATGAGAATGTGAAGGCATGCATAAAAAGGAAGGAGGCATCCACCTTTCAATACTTTCCAAAAACAATTTCAAGCAGTATATAAAATGCCCTTCAATGCTCCTGTACTTGTTATGCATAATCAACAACCTGTTCAACATGTTCAAAGCATTCCAGCAGTTCATTTTGTAATGAGCTGCTGTGATTTAATTTACCTTGACCTCCCTTGCCTACTTCTAATTCCTAATGTTGCAAGAATGGCTCCTGACAATCGCCCGAGTACCTATGAGAACTTGTTGAATTTAAGTACTCCCTCCAGTTATCAGTCTTTGATTCTGTGCAAGCAACAACACAAACCTGATGTTTACTGTTGACGTTTTAAGTAGCTCAGACATTTTGCTGCTATCAAACCACACCAAGGCTATGCCAGAAATATCTTGTCATGAAATCATTCTTTTGGGAATTTATCCACAGGAATAAATATCACGCATCACCAGACAACAAAGGGGCCACAAAAATGTGAGGTGTGATGCCAGTAGCTGTTCTTAACTTTGTTATAGTGATTCGAGGTGGAGTTCATTTTTACCGAGAAGCGAGAAGAGCCTGACTGACAGTCTTGCCGCTACAATCATTAATCAGTCAAAGGTCTGCAACTTTTACAGATACTCAAATACATACTCAAATTGAGAGTGTATTCTTACCTGTTAACTCACTACAGCACATTTTTTTGTTTTTTGGCCTTTGTCATATCATCAACTAAAGCCCAGCACCACAACTATTAGACTGAAGCCCTTGACAGAGATCTTCTCATAAAAAGTGTGATTTTTTTTTCTTTGCAGCACAACAACAAAACAAACTGATACAGCCCATAACATACTTCCAGTACAGATGGGCTCAGTGGATGACACCATCTGTGCACAAACCCTGCTTCTATATTTGTACACAATCATAAATCTGAATTATGCTCATTATTCATTATCATTCTTACTGAATACTTGGCGTTGGTTGCGAGCTCCTCCCCCTCCCTCAGCCAGCTGATCATTGGTTTTGGATTTCCCTGGGCAGAGCAGCTAAGCAGAGTGCTTCCCCCTTCCTTCGCCTCCACATACTGTGGCGGCGTTGCTGTAAATGAAGGTGGGGCTGTGGAGAAAGAAAATTGTGTCATAAAATGTAAAAACATCAGTCATTAAACTGTCTGGTGATGTCTTCAGTTTGGGATTTCTGGATTCTGTACAGATAGATAGAGAGATAGATAGATAGATAGATACTTTATTTATCCCGAGGGAAATTCAAGTATCCAGTAGCATACGAAACATACATTAAACCTATATTAAAATTAAATTAAAATTAAAATAACTTTTAACACAGTAGCCACAGTAAAATAACAGTAAACAGTGCAAATGGAGTGCAGATGGATGTAAAGAGTACAGATTTTGTCTACTGTCCTCCCTGCCATGGCTAGGAGCTGTTGTACAGTCTGATGGCCAGGGGGACGAAAGAGTTTTTAAGTCTGTTGTTGGAGCTGGGCTGGGACAGCAGTCTGCCACTGAACACACTCCTCTGCCCGATGAAGGTGTTGTGCAGAGGGTGGTGGGCGTTGTCCAGTATGGACAGCAGTTTGTCCAGGGTTCTTCTTTCTGCCACTGTCACCAGAGAGTCCAGCTCTGAGCCCACCACTGAGCCAGCTCTCCTTACTAGTCTGTCCAGTCAACCGGCATCTCTCTTGCTGCTTCCTCCCCAGCAAACTACAGCATAAAAGAGGACACTGGCCACCACAAACTGGTAAAACATCTGCAGCAGTTTTTTGCAGTTGTGGAAGGACCCCAGCCTTCTCAGGAAGTACAGATGGCTCTGCCCTTTCCTGTGGAGAATGTCCATATTTTCTGTCCAGTCCAGCTTGTCATCCAGCTGCAGCCCCAGATATTTGTAAATCCTGACCACCTCCGCATCGACCCCCTCGATGGACACAGGCTGGAGATGTGGTTTCTTCCTTCTGAAGTCCACCACCATCTCCTTGGTCTTAGAGGTGTTCAGCTGCAGATGGTTGGTCCTGCGCCACCTCACAAATTCCTCTACCAGGCTCCTGTACTCCTCCTCCTGTCCATCCTTGATACAGCCAACTATCACAGTATCGTCTGAGTATTTCTGCATGTGGCAGAGCCCGGTGTTATACTGGAAGTCAGATGTGTACAAGGTGAAGAGGATGGGAGAGAGCACGGTCCCCTGTGGTGCTCCGGTGCTGCTGACCACAGTGTCTGACATGTGACCCTTCAGTCTGACGTACTGTCTGTGAGGTAGTCCGTAATCCATGTCACCAAGCGTGGGTCCACCCTCATCTCTGTCAGCTTTTCTCTCAGCAGGAGCGGCCGGATGGTATCGAAGGCGCTGGAGCAGCGGCGCTCACCTTGTCCAGATGTGAGTAGGTCCTGTGGAGCATAATGAGGATGGCATCCTCCACGGCCACCTTCTCCTGGTATCCCAACCGCAGTGGATCTTGTGTATGGTGAACCTGGGGTCTGAGGACATGTAGCAGCAGCCGTTCAAAGGTCTTCATGATGTGTGATGTCAGTGCTACTGGTCTGAAGTCACCAGGCTCCCTGGGGTGTTTTTTCTTGGGAACCAGGATGAGACATTGAGTCTTCCAGAGCACTGGGACCCTCCACAGCTGCAGGCTCAGGTTGAAGACATGCTGGAGTGGCTTCTTCTTGCTGCCTGTGATGGTTTTCGTGCCATCCCAGACCTCCCTCATGTTGTTGTGCTGCAGCTTCTGTTCTACCTTCCTTCTGTAGTCCTCCTTCGCCTCTCTAGGTAGACCTTGAGTTCCCCCTGTACGCGCTTCAGCTCATCTCTGTCACCATCCTTGAATGCCCTCTCCTACCTGTTCAAGATGTCCTTGACATTACTGGTGATCCAGGGCTTGTTGTTGGGGAAGCAGCGTACCGTTCTGGTGGGGACTACAACGTCCATGCAGAAGTTCAGGTAGTCAGTACTGCAGTGGGTGACCCCCTCAATGTCCTCACCATGTGCTTCCTGCAGGACGCTCCAGTAATGTTCTTTCCGGTGGAGCAGCTAACAAACTGGTGAAAGTCTGACAGTGTGGAGTCCAGTGTCACGTGGTTGAAATCCGGAGATGGTGATGAATGCATCTGGATGGTTTGCAGTCTCGCGATGGTGGAGTTACGGAACGCTAAAAGGCTCACAATACGCCACTTTCCTACCTCGTTTTGTTAAAAAAAAAAAACAGCGTAAAAAGCGCCGTTTGAACGGCCAGGACGCCGCTTTTTACGCCGCCATAAAGCACAACGCCGTAAAAAGCGCCTGGAATTGTGTAAACAACGACGCATTTTTCGTCGGTCTGGAGGCGGCGAAAAAAACGTCGCTCTATGTGCTCATGTAACGCCGTTTTTACGGGGCTCAGTGTCCCCAATGACACCCATCATAACATGTAGTGTTAAATGATAATGAGCTCCACCCTGTCTTTTCCAAAGTCAATCAGTTTGAACTGTTATCACCCAATCAGTAAATAACAAGAACAGACCACATTAATCCAACCCAGCACAAGGATGAGCTTCCCTACCTTAGCTCATAAAGTGACTCAATACCTTCACAAATTATACAGACATCCCACTCACTGCTAATGACGCTGCCTTACAAGTCCAGTTTCTGTGGGTTGCAGGTTTGCGCCCTGTTCGCATCTTGTTTATTGGGGGAGGTTTTTCTGTTTTCTGTTACAATGGCAATCGGTAAACTGAAGTTGTAAGCACACAAACATTACTGTGTTTTCCTCTATTTTATTAACCTAATAGAACCAATCCAATATTAATGTACCGACTGTGCTTACTATAAGGTGCAAGAAAGCTGCAGGCTTGAGGAAGGAGGATGGTTGGTGTGTGCAACTGACTGTTCAGCAAATGCACAACAAATACAAGCTTTGAATCTACAGGGCCCTGTTTCATAAAGCGGGTTTAGTGAAAACTCTGAGTAAATTGAGCCCGAGATGAGGAAAACTCTGGGTTTTCGGTTTCAGAGAGCGAGATCAGATTAACTCTAGGTCTGTAACCCCGGCAATTTACGCTGTGAACCTAACCTGCTCGGGAGGAGGTTTACTTCAACTAACGCTGAGTTTCTCTCCGACTCCTCTCCTGCGGAGCTGGAAGCAGTGTGACAAAAGTGACATTTCCTCATTCATACTGTCGATATCAAAGCACATATTGGAACACAGTTACGTCTTTAGAAACATCGAAATCACGGTTAAATAGGCTATTAGGGTTTTTTTTACCCTAAGAGGATCTTGACTTCAACTGTCTGACAAAATACGAAATAAGCAAGATTTTATTAATGGAACATAGACGTCTAAAACTTCACACTCAGTTTGAACTTAGACATATTTTAAATTGCAAAAAATCATTAATAGGTATAGGCCTACTGAGTCGGACTGTGGCTTTACAATCACAGGTCCATGAAGAGCCTAAAATGTGTCTAATCTGTAATTGTTAACGTATCAATCATGTGTTTTATAGCCAATCATGGTCTGCGTTGGCACGCATTAATTTTTCTAGCTCCACCCGATTAAAATAGAGGCTCTGCCTTTATTTACCCGTTGCCATAGTGAATTGTAGTATCGGAGCTCCATTGATGGCTTTTTTCTGACTGAACTTATTCTGATCGGCCTTTCTGAAATGTAAAAGGCAGAAAAGCAAGTGTGTTCCTACATGATGCATATATCTGATTATCTTTTCAGCCATTTTCATGACATTGTGGATGGACTTCCCGTCCGGTGGAACAGTACAGCCCTACCACAGCTAGGTCTCATCCATTTCCCACTCATAAAACAGTCTAGATTCTATCGATTTAGATTTAGCTATTGTGCTTTGGTGTAACTGAAACCAAGATTAGGTGATTTTATGAGGCAGTTTAATGCATATGGGGATACCTTTCTGATTTGATCCTAAAGAATATTAAAGTAATTAAACTACATCTGAGTTGTTCCTCCTTTCATTAATCTAATCAAACCTCTACTTGACACACACCCACCCACCCTCTCCAATTCCATTTGTTCATCATGCTAGTTTAAAAAAATAAAAAAAAAGATTCAAATGCATACATTCAAGAAATTTTATTGATGTAAACAATCCAATGCCTACTTACAATGATATGAACACATTTTTTGTTTTCAGTGTCTGGGCTTGTTCTTAAAAAGTCCTCCATCTTTAGAAAGGTGATTTCAGTAGCCAACATATCTTTAAACATTCTCTAAAAACTGGTAAAAATAAACCTCCTTGAGTTGAATTTCAAAGAATAAACACACTCTGTTGACCTTTTTCATCAAGTGTATCATTTCAAGCCTCAAATATTTAATTTCATGTGTAATGAATCTAGAATATATAAGTATATAAGTAATATATAAGTTTCACCTTTTGAAAAAAATTAAAAAATAAATGAAATTTCCACTATATTATAATTTTATGAGATGCACCTGTAGAGTACTTGACATCTTAGGTGGCAAGTTTTGAACCTGCAGCAGTTCACAACTCCATCTTTGATTAGGAGAGTGCCCTTCTTTATTTTGTAACACAGCAGATGGGAATGAGCACAGACTCACATTTCTTTTAGCCAAATTTTCAAATATGTGCTTAAAATTATGAAAGTGGATGGTAGGCCTGGGCGAAAAATCGATTGAATGAATTAATTCGAATTTTTTGTTGCGGGCGATTTAAAAAATAAGTAAATCGAGTTTTTGTGTAATAGCACATTTTTGGCTCCCCGGGGTTTCCGTAGTGTTCGTTTCCCATAGCGACAACATCATACACTAAACAGCAACAGCAAGCGACAAAATGGCTACCGGTGAGAGCGGGAAGTTTGTTCCCAAGAAAGGAATAAAGTCATCTGTTGTTTGGAACTGGTATGGGTTTGCTGCGACAGATGTGGAACAACAGACACCACGCTGCAACATTTGCCTAAAGCCTATCGCAGTGAAAGGCAGCAGCACCACAAACCTATTCCAACACCTGAAACAGAGACATCCAGCCGAATATGAAAAATGCCAGTCTCTCCGCGATGAACAAAGCCGCACTGACCAACAAACCTTATTGCTTTCCTTAAGTAGGGGGGGAAATCGGAAAAAATCGTAAATTGAATTA